CTGTTAGTGCCGTAACAGCAATTGATTTATTTCTTTGGTGATTGAAGAGCTGAGTTTCATAAAAAGGGGTGGTAGTCTCTAGTCTCCTGGTGCAAAGAATTTTTTTTAAGCAGTTATCCAGCGTGTGAAGGGGAAATTGTGTGGACTGAAGACAAAATTTAACAAAATTTATCTTTCTGGGTGTTAGACTGCACTATTTTAAGGTTTTTTGTGCCTACTTTGAGTGTGACCTGAAGTTGTTATCATGAGTGGTGAAGATTCTACAACATCTGGTGCTTCCTCAATGCAGAATGGAATGAGTGGGGGTATGGATTTATCCTTCCCTATGGCTGTCATACCCCTGGATGGCTTAAATTATTTAGAATGGTCGAAAGGAATCAGGTTATACATTACTGCAAGGGGAAAGATAGGATATATAAATGGGAGAATTAAAGAACCTAATTGTGGGAGTGTTGAGTATGACAGATGGAACCAAGAAAATAGCATGGTTATGTCCTGGCTTTTAGTGTCTATGCAACCTCAGTGGGAAGGAACTTTATGTGGGCTGAAACGGCTTATGAGATTTGGAAACAAGCAAAGTCAACCTATTCTGAACTGCATCACTATGCAAAAATCTATCAATTACAAGCGGAATCATCCACTTATAAACAAGGGGAGAGGAGTCTTTTTGTGTACTATTCAGACTTGACCTCCATCTGGAAGGAGTTGGATCACTATCAGAATGTGGACTGGAAGTGTGATGAAGATGCAAAAGTGTACAAGTCCCTTGTTTCCCAGCAGCGAGTATTTGCATTTCTCCAAGGCTTGAACCTTGTGTATGAATCCAGGAGGTATATGCATTACTACAATCAGAGGAAAGTATAAGAAATTTGATGAATAATTCTGGGGGGGATGTAGTTGTGGTGGCAGCGAAAGGGGATGTTGCTACAGGTGGGGGAAATCTATTTAAGAAGGGGGACTTTCAAAAAAGGGTGGATGACAAAGACAAACTATGGTGCACCCATTGCCAGAAATCCCGACACACCCGTGATACATGTTGGGAACTTCATGGGAAGACAAAATGGGCTCAGGAATTGAGTAAGAAGCAAGGTTTAGATCTGAATAAGAAGTCAGGATAGGAAGGTCCAAGAAAGCTCACCATGGCAAACATGGCTACTCAGGAGAATCAGCCCCCTACTACTACTGTGACTCACACACACCTCTGATTCTAACCCTAGGGAGGATATTATTAATTCCTTCTGTGACCATTTAGAACTCTATGGTAAGGCAATTCATCAGATGGATGCTCCTCCTCCCTCAACTTCATTTGCATCTACATGAGGTAATTCTGCCACAGCTTTCCATGTATCATCTCATTCCCTTGACTCTCCTTGAATAATTGATTATGGAGCATCAAAACATATGACTAATAAGTCCAGTTACTTTCAGACCTATCACCTCCTCTCTAGAAGAGACAAGGTGAGGCTAGCTAATGGTTCATACTCTACCATAGCTAGTCAATGAACCATTTCTCTTCCCTTTGGCCTCACCCTAACTAATGTTTTACATGTTCCAAAATTCCCTATTAATTTGTTCTCTGTTAGTAGTATCACTAATTCTTTAAACTATTCAGTGACCTTTTTCCCTTCTTATTGTGTGATACAAGATTTGGCCTCGGGGAAGACGATTGGTAGAGGATGTACGGTGGATGGGCTCTACATGTTGGTGAATAAGGCTAGTCTTATAGTCACAAAGTCTAAGTGTCAGACTAGTAAGAATCAGGTCTATTTATGGCACAATCGTCTTGGTCATTTATCTTTTGAATCCTTAAAAATGGTGTTTCCAGAGTTGTTTAAGTTAGTGTCAGTGTCAGAGTTTACATGTCAAACTTGTCAATTGAGTAAGCATTGTAGAACTCATTTTTCTTTAAAGAATAATAAATCTGAATTTCCTTTCCATATTGTTCATCCTAATGTTTGGGGCCCTATTACTTTACCATCTGAGAGTGGCTACAAGTATTTTATTACCTTTATTGATGATTACTCCATATATACATGGGTGTACGTGTATCCCATGCGAACTAGGGACGAAGTACCAAAAATTATCCAAGATTTCCATCGAATGATCTTCACCCAATTTCAAACTAAAATCCAAGTTTTTCAATCCGATAATGCCAAAGAATATTTTCATAATGATCTTACGGAGTTCTTTGCTTCGCGTCGATCACTTCGCCGTAGCCCATGTGCTCGAACACCACAACAAAATGGTGTTGCTGAAAGAAAGAACCGACACCTTCTTGAAGTGGCCCAGGGGTTACTAATTTATATTAATGACCCAAAACACTTTTGGCTTGAGGTTGTCCTTTGTGCTACTTATCTCATTAATCATATGCCCTCTCACTGGTTAGAGTGCAAAGCCCCACATCAACTTCTTTTTCCTAAAGCTCCTTTTCTTTCTATTCCTCCTCGTGTGTTTGGTTGTCGTTGTTTTGTTCAATACCTGTCACCCACCCATGGAAAATTGGATCCTCGTGCTATTCCTTACATCTTCTTGGGGTACTCCACCACTAAGAAGGGATACCGGTGCTTTAATCCCGTCTCTCGGAGGTATTATGTTTCTATGGATGTCTCTTTCTTTGAGAGCGAGCCTTTCTTCCCTGTTTTTCCTCAGGGGGAGTGTAGGAATGAGGAAAAACCGAGTCAGCTCCCTCCTCTTCCTGATCCTCCTTCCTTTCATGTTTTCTTTCGTCATTACAAAGGCCAGCCATGTTCAAGAGCTGTGGAGCACCTAGAAGTTGTACCACCAATGCCATCAAACTCTCCGATGGTGGATCCTACCCAACCAGGTACCTTGGTTCCCATTGATGTTCCTGACCCTATTGCTATTGATACCTCTCTTGCTGATGACCTTGACCTTCATATTGTTCACCGGAAGGGTGTTAGGTCTTGCACCACTAAACATCCCATTTCCCATTTTGTTTCTTATGAGAACATTTCACCTTCCTTTCAGGCCTTTCTTTTTTCCATTGACAATGTTCCTATTCCTAAGAATGTGGCAGAAGCTTTGTTGGTGCTTGAATGGGCAGATGCTATGAAGGAAGAAATTAATGCTTTGCATAAAAATGGCACATGGGAATTGATAGATCTTCCTGAGGGGAAGGAACCAGTTGGAAGTAAATGGGTTTTCACAGTAAAACATAGGGTTGATGGAACAATGGAGCGGTATAAAGCTCGTTTAGTGCCAAAAGGGTTTACACAAGTGTATGGAGTGGATTATGTAGAAACTTTTGCACCTGTTGCTACGATGAACTCCATTAGAGTCTTTTTCTCTTTAGTTGCTAATCTTGATTTTGGACCTTCAAGATGCTTTTCTAAATAGTGACCTTGAAGAAGAAGTGTACATGGTACAACCCTCTGGTTTTCGAGCTCAAGGTAATGAACAAAAAGTGTGCAGGTTAAAAAAAAATCATTATATGGCCTAAAACAATCACTGAGAGCCTGGTTCAACAAGTTTCATGTAGCTGTTCAACAAAGACGATACAAGCAGTGTCAATCTGATCACACATTATTTTTGAAAAGAGGGGAAGGAAAAATTGTAGCCTTGATAGTATATGTTGATGATATAGTTATCACTGGTGATTGAAAAGATGAAATTCAAAAGTTGAAGAGATTTCTAGCTACCCAGTTTGAGGTGAAAGATCTAGGTCCTTTAAGGTAATTCCTTGGAATTGAAGTTGCCTGTTCACAAAAGGGTATCTTCATTTCCCAAAAAAAGTATCTCCTAAATCTGCTCCAAGATACAGGAGAATTGGGAGTGAAACCTATTGATTCTCCTATTGATCCTAATCACAAATTAGGTGACTGTCAAGGTGAATTCATAAGGATGTGAAACAATTTCAGAGGCTTGTAGGAAGATTGTTATATCTTTCTATGACCCGACTAAACATTGCTTATGTAGTGAGTGTTCTTAGCTAATTCATGCATGCCCCTATGACCACCCACCTTGAAGCAGCTAAAAGATTTCTCAGATATCTTATGAAGTTTCCAAAAGCACGAGCATTTGAAATTTGAAGTGTATATCAATGCAGATTGGGCAAGATCCCTGAGTGATAGGAAGTCTACCAACGGCTATTGTACCTTTGTGGGAGGGAACCTAGTTACCTGGAAAATCAAAAGGCAGAATGTGGTGGCTAGGTCTAATGTTGAAGCTGAATATAGGGCAATGTCTCATGGAGTGGCTGAAATTATGTGGCTAAAAAATTTGTTGAGTGAGTTGGGATGTATAGTTGATGGACCTATGACCCTATACTGTGATAACAAAGCAGCCATAACCATTGCTGCTAATCCAGTGCTGTATGATAGAACTAAACAATTCGAAGTCGACAAACATTTTATCAGAGAAAATGTTGTCAAAGGGGAAGTGTTTACCCTCTATGTCAGTTCTAAAGACCAACTTGCAGACATCTTCACAAAAGAGTTACATCACTTGTGGCATCATGATTTATGTAACAAGTTGGGCATGATTGACATCTATGTCCCAACTTGAGGAGGAGTGTAAAAAGTCTTTTAATATTTTAAGTTTATACCGTAGGGGTACTATTGTACTTTCTCCCTCTTTTATTTTGTTTTATGTAGCCCTAGTATAAATACAAAAAGCTGGCACCGCCGGTTTGATTTTTTGGCTCTCAATATCCTTTCTCTCCTCTCTCTCCTCTCTCCTCTCTCCTCTCTTCTCTCTTCTCTCTTCTTTCTTCTTCTCTTCTGAACATGTTCCAAATCCTATTTACATATCTTATTTTAAAAAATTACTAATTCTATTCATTCAATTGGCCTAGTTTCCTATTTTCAGACGGTTTAATGGTGGGAGGAAGAAATTAAGGTTACTGGGCCTTAAGCAAACTCATATTAACAACTCTCTAACGGTGTAGGATCACGAAAGTTGAAACAACAAAAGAGATGATCCATTGAATTAAAGAAGAAATCAAGAAATGTTGAAAGAGAAACAAAGAGAAAAGGTTTTACCCTGGAGAGGTGACCTTTAGAAACGAGACGTTGAATTGAAGCAGTGATGGTTTTGGTAGCTCGGCTGAGAGCAACGGGGTCGGAGTCGTGAAGCCAAACATCGATGCCGCGGACCGCAGCCAACTGGGCGATCCCTGACCCCATCTGTCCGCTACCGATTACCCCGATCACCTTCGTCTCTGCCATAGCAAGTAATCAAGAACAAGCACCACCAGGTCCTCCACGGCCACCACCGTTGTTATGGGAGATTAAGCTTTTGGTTTTATATTTTGTTTTTAGTAGCGTTGCAGGGACTGAGAAGTGAGAAGCCGTCTCGACCTATCTTCAACCAGGAAGAAAAATGTCCTACGCTTTGCTTAAAATTACAATAGAGAGGACCTTAACCGTTAGCATTTTTGTCAGTTATTTGCACTTTGGAGCATGTGGCTATTGAAACATTTAAAATTTCAAAATTACCCTTTTCATTTATGATACCGTTTTACCCCCTTCTTTATTGAATCTCGAAAACCTTAATCCTTAATCCTTTCATTCCCAGGTTAAGTAATTTGTGTTTTTATTTTTGAGTTCGACTTTAGCGCCGGAAATACATGATATTGAGAAAGTTTACAAACAATCAACCAGCATTACAAAAGTAGTAATCAATTAGGTAAATTTTCATCAAAATTCAGAGGAGTGCAATTGGTCAAAACTTTTCCCTTATCATGTCTTTATTATCTTTCCAGCATCATAAATTTTCCCTTTTCTTTGGCTTTTCTACAACAATTCAAAGATCTCATCAACTGAGCCACAACCATTCGGTAACAATTTGTGCATCAAACCAATGCAGAAAGGTTTATAAAAATATATGCTAATTTATAAATCAATCATGTTCATTTCTATCATTTTGCAATTTTGTTGTTAATTATTCAAATTCAAACATTAAACTGGCATTTTAGTAAATTTGCCATCCACCATAATGTCAGTTGAATGAGTTGGGCAATGAAGAAGTGTAACTACCCTCGTAATATTTTTCCTTGTTTTTAATGGATAAAGCATACGGTTCTCTAGTCTAGGTATCTTGGATAAGCAACACCGGCACGTAAATACTCTTCCAAGGAAAAGGCCAAGAGGAGGAGAGCGACATGCGACAAGTATATAAAATCGTTATATCAGTGATTGACATTAGGAATTGGGCCTGCTGGACATACACCTACCGGGCTCTAGTAATCACTGATGGAACCATTGATCTGAGATTCAAGATCCAATTCAACGGTTCTGCCTGTGCTACAACAATTCAATACTACATTGACAATAGGGAATAAGGATAAAAGGAGTTAAACCGCATAATGCATACACAAGTTTTTAATTGGACAAATAACATAAGCTCTCTCTCAGATTAATCATCCTTTTAGAGCCTGATTGTATTTTGTAGGATATTCTATTCTCCTAACCCAAAACCCAATACATGACTGACGGCAGAAAAAATTACAATTCAGCAATCTGCCAATTTTGCAGCCTTGCCTGCTGGAACATCAACTCACGTTGACTTTTTACTACGGCTACGTTTGTTTGGGTCCCCGATTCGATTTTACTGGCGTTTGATAAACATGTAATTTTGTGTAAAATTTAATTTTAAATTTTATTTATATCAATAATGGATGTAATATGTACATGATTATCGAGGTAAAATTAACCGTTCTTCCTCTTCTCTCTCGCTCTCTCTTTCTCTTCTTCTCTCTTCTTCACCCCTTTTTGTTTCTCTTTCCATCACCGCCACAGCAACTGGTTGCAGCGGCAGATCTGAACCCACCTCTGAAGAGAGAGCCAGAGAGGACCCAAAAGGAAGAAAAAGCGCTAATCAAGTTGGCCCCTCCGGCTGCGGCTGGCTCTGTTGCAAGTGATCTCTCTCTCTTCTTCATCTTCCCCCCCCCCCCCCTTTTTTCTCTTTCCGTCACCGTTGCTGCAACCAGTTGCAACGGCAGATCTGAACCCACCTCCTAGGGAGAGCCGGAGGGGACCCAAAACAGAGAGTGATCTCTTTCTTTTCTTTTTAATACTCCAATCATTTCCTTCTCTTTTTTTTTTCTTCTTCTTCCCCTGCTTCCCTCCATTGTAAATCATCTTCTCCTCCTCTGCACCATCTCATCGAATTTACACCTTGACAACCAAACAAGGTAGGTGTAAATTTTCAAAATCAACCGGTTTTAATTTCCACCGATCACTAAATCGATTCATTTTTTCCATGATATAAAATTTGAATTTACGCCTCAAACAAATGCAGCCTACAAAGGAAAAGGGGAGCAAAACAGCCTGAAAACAAAAATAAAAAAAGACAACAAAACAAAAGCAGGAAAATTTACACTATGGTATAACTCATACAGGGAATACAAGAATGAAACAGAGGGATAATTCGCAACCTGTGTAAGGGCTAAGAAGAACACAAGGAAGTTCTTTGCTTCACGAGTAATTGCTTTAGTTTCTTAATTAACTGAGGATTGGAACACATGTAATCCACAAATGACTCCCTCAAGTCTTGCAGCACCCTTCTATTGTCGTCACTGGAACTGTGATTGAGTAATTTAGAGAATAAGCTCCTCCAGAGATCAACGTTCCAGTACCTGAAAGCCAATCGTTTTAAGCAGGATGAAGAGATTAAAAAAAAAAAAGTGAGCTAGTGAGCTACAAGACAAGGATGAAAGCACAGTACCGCCTCAAAGACGATTTGGGTTGATAGAGATATGTTCCATCTGGAGAGACCTTTTTTTCTATAGCCATGTATGTCCCATGTAGCATCATATGCACGATGACACAGAGGCCATAAGTGTCAACCTGGTGAAAGAAAACAACTAAGAGTCAGACAAACGAAACTGAGATAGACGTGCTTTTATTAACAGAGATATACTAGAAAATGTGGTGACTAGCCTGAAATTTCCATGGCCTATTCTCTTGCATTTCAGCACATCTGAAGCCAGACGTCCGACAGTCTCCCTGGAACTCTGTACCTTCAGGAAAGAGGCTTAGGTCTATTCCTCTTCCCCAGTCTACAAGGCAAAGACCCTACATGAAATGCAATGACCTATCAGACACTTTCTTAAACAAGATATCAGTCTGTCAATCTCTAATGCAACAAGAATTGACCTGATTACGCCAGGGACCGGTTCGATTGCGGAACCCATCCTCTGTAAGATCATCACTATCAAAGAACAGAAGAATAAGATATCATATTAATTATTTATAGAAAGCAAATAACAGGATGACTGGGGAACTTGAGAATTTCCCCTTCAGGTGGTGTGTAACCAACTTTGTCTTTATTGGGAAGAACGACATAACTACTATTAAGGATGCCAAATTCCAAGAGACGGCATGATTAGAAAGAGTTTATGTTTGGACTTTGGAGTCTCAATATCAGAAGGAAATAGGGATATTTGATCATTAATAATGGACTGAGGATGATTATACTAGAACTATTATTATTGTTATTTTTTATGAGCATTATGTGAAAAGTACTGATGCTAAACTAGGAAGGCTGCGTTTGGCAACAATGCAAACAAGTGTGAATGCAAATATGAGAGTGTAAAACGGTCCATATAAATTGCAACGTTGGGTTAGTTTTTGTCGGCAAATTAAGAAAGACAGGATTTGCGGCAAATTAAGAAAGATATGATTTGAGATTTGAACAAATTTAGGAAAGATTAGATTTGAATAAATTTAGGAAAGTCAGATCCTAGGATTAAGGGAAAGATTTAGTCAATCCCTGATTGACAGAAATTATAGGGGTTTGTCTCTCTTATCTTTTCTTATTTAAGGTGTATGCTCATATATGTTTTGAATTATCAATAAAGAAAATCTTCTTCTTTTCTCCCTCTGTATTTCGCAACATGGTATCAGAATCATAGGGTTCGATCATGAATTTTAAGGCCGCCATGATTGGCTCAGGTTCAGCATCTTCGGATGCTACCATTGGTGTGACGTCTTCGAAGGGAGGTATTCAGCCTACGGCTATTTCTCTGTCTGAGAATTCCCTTCAAATTACCATTCACAAACTGAATGGAAAAAATTATCTTGAGTGGTCTCAGTCCGTGCGGTTGGTGATTGACAGMAAAGGGAAACTYGGCTWCTTRAATGGCRAAGTGAAACCACCAGCCACTGATGATCCAAAGTACAGGCAGTGGCGTTCTGAAAACTCTATGGTTATCGCTTGGTTGATCAACTCTATGGATCCGGTGGTTGGAAAACCATTCATGTTTCTGCCGACTGCTCACAATGTGTGGGAAGGTGTTAGGGAAACTTATTCAGATTTGGACAATCATTCACAACTGTTCAAACTGAATACCCGAATGTGGAAGATGCAGCAAGGTGAACGTGAAGTAACAACCTATTATAATGAGATGATGKCTGTTTGGCAGGAGTTGGATTTATTTGAAGAAGAAGAATGGGAAAGTCCCAGTGACAGTGCTCGGTACAAAAAGAAGATAGAAAAAGGCCAGGTGTTTGTCTTCTTGGCTGGTTTGAACAAAGAACTCAATGAGGTCTGGGGACGTATCTTAGGACGAAAGCCCTTGCCTACTATAAGAGAGGTTTTTTCAGAAGTGAGTAGAGAAGAAGCATGGCGGCAAGTGATGTTAAAGAATGTTAGTGAAACAAAAACAGAGAATGAAGGGTCCGCTCTTGTGGCCCGAGGTGCAGACTTAGACGGAGATAAATGAGGAGGAAAGCAGAGGCCTTGGTGTGATCATTGTAGAAAGCCATGGCATACTCGGGAAACCTGTTGGAAGCTGCATGGGAAACCGGCGGGTTGGAAGAAAAAATCAGGCAATGACAACAAGTCAGGGGGAGATGTCCGCGCACTTCAAATAAGCAACTCGGATCCAGGGCAGCGGTCATCCTCAGAGTCTCTTCCTTTCACAAAGGAACAAATAGAGCACTTATATAAAATGTTTCAATCTCAATCGTTAAGAAACTCTAACCCATCTTGTCCTCTAGCTCAGTCAGGTAATTTCTTCACTGCAGCCATTGCTTGTACCAAATCTAATGGCTCCTAGAAACTAGATTCAGGTGCCACTGATCATATGACCGGCACTTCGCAATTCTTTTCCTCATATTCACCCTGTGCAGGGAATCAAAAGGTTAAGATTGCAGATGGTTCCTTTGCTACTGTTGCTGGGAAAGGAACTGTACCTATTTCTCCTTCTCTAAACCTCAAAGATGCTCTGCATGTTCCTAACCTATCATACAATCTCTTATCAGTCAGCAAACTTACCCTTGATCATAACTGTCAAGTTAATTTTTGGTCTTCTTGTTGTGAATTTTAGGATTTAACCTCGGGGAAGATGATTGGGGGTGCTAAACAGGATGGTGACCTCTACCTCTTTAATAAAGGATCTACCTTTGGAAGGCAAGACCAACAGACTTGTTTCAGCTCTATCTCTGTTTCTAGTGACAGTGAAGTTTTGTTATGGATCGATTAGGTCATCCTAGCTTTCAATATTTAAAGCATCTATTTCCCAAGTTATTCATGAATAAAAATCATTCAGTTTTCAAGTGTGAATCTTGTGAATTAGCAAAACATCA